TCTATTAGGGATGGACAGCTAGAAACTGGGATTTTCTCCAGTCGTAGTTTAGAGAAACGCATCATCCACCTCGCATGTTGCTGACAAAATTAAAGTGTTTCCCCAACATACAAAAAGAAAAAAGTTGCCTATTTGTCTTTACTCTAGCGGATAAGAATCATTTAACTTCTGCCTTCTGCATGTTAGACGCAAACATTTAACCACACAATACAAAAATGTATTATTTAAGACTGTACAACTTTTTTTTCCGATAACCTAGTTTTTTTTTTTTTACTTTTAACACATCATGGGGTATTTTGCTGATGCCAACTTTAAATATTCAATATAAACATATAAGAAAATGATAGATATAATAGATAATAGACAAAAATAAAGAATTGAATTTGCTTTCTCTGACTCTGCCTTAATCTACCAATTTATTTAAATCAACTAAGAGTCTGTTTGTTTATTTATCGGTATTTTGCATCAACATATTACCATAAAGCCAGACTTCCACCACATCATACCTCCTACAGTTTAGGGTAAATGAACCAGTGTTATTTGGCATAATCCTCTGCGTACTAAGATGCAGCTGCATATGCAAAGCAGCTCAATGATAAACCGTTAAAATAGCAACACTTTTACAACTACCAGACGTGCAGCCTTCCAACTTTCTAGTTTAAATATCAATAAAAAACGGTAAACTGCCATCAATATAAGAGCAGTCAAAGGATCCTGATAGTTATTGCTTTCTGTCCTCCAGCAACAGAAAAGCTCTTTTGTTGTTGTTTGTTTTTATCTCTACTAAAAAAAAATGGATGAGTGAGGCTTGTATTATCTGCACCATGAATATCTGAGAAAATTCAAATATCCCTGAAACCCCCAACTTTCCAAGTCAGTTGCAGCCAAAGCTGCGCCGTGGCGGTGATGAGGCCGCTCTGACATCCATTACTGCACTGCAAAACCGATCTACAAATAAGTAAACATTTCTTCTTATAAGTTTATTTAACCTGAATTCTAGGAGTTAAATGAGATGTTTTGCCAATGGAAGGAGGATTTTTACTCTTAAAATAAGAAAATGAGATCAAATGGACTTATAATAAGACAGTTTAAGTGTTTTTTCTTATTTAAAATGTAAATTATGTTGTTCAATTGGCAAAGCGTCTCCCTTACCTCCTCATTTCTAGACAAAATGCACTTACTTATGCAAATGCAAATACTTATTTCGATTTCAATTATTTGCAGTGTACGCAACGTGCACTGAAAAAACATTCTGGAAATGAGTAAAAATGTCTTAAATTAAGTGGATTTACCGTTAATTTGTGTAGGAAAATGAGACAATAAGACAATGCAACTGTTTTTTCTTATTTTAAATGTAAATAGTCTTGTTCCATTGGCAAAGCGTCTCACTTACCTCCTCATTTCTAGACAAAATGCACTTATTTTAAGAAAAACGTACATATTTCAATTTTTAAATATTTGCAGTGTACTGAAAAAACATTCTGGAAATAAGTAAAAATGTCTTAAATTAAGTGGATTTACCGTTAATTTGTGTAGGAAAATGAGGCAATAAGACAATGCAACTGTGTTTTCTTATTTTAAATGTAAATAGTCTTGTTCTATTGGCAAAGTGACGCTTTTACCTCCTCAATCCAAGAACAAATGCACTTATTTTAAGAAAAAATGACTTATCTACATTTCATTTTTCCCAGTGTGGGGTCAGCTTCTTGGCTAAGGAAACAACAATCAAATCGGCGGCCCTCTGGTTTCACCGTCACGCCCTTTTTAATTAAACTAAAGCATCTTTAACGCAAAGTTTAGCCAAACATTTCATGCAGAAATAGCTGCTAGTCTGCATTTTCCATTTTCAGATAAGAAAAGAATTGCTTTACTTTCCCACAGCCGAACATTTTTGCATGACAATGTCGCACACAGTTACACACCATTATTAGCAAAACTAAATGGGAAATAAAAATATTGCAAAGTAGAAAATCTTTTTAAACTGTGGAATAGACTCCAGTCCATCAACATAACACCAAATATTCAAATATGTGGATGATAGTGCAACAGATCCTTAAGTAGTTCAGGGATGAGGAAGTTAGCTTAGCATCTAAGGGGGAGGTCAGTTTAAACGCTTCAGGATGGGATTAGAACCCGTGCAGCCATTAGCGTGACGTAAACAGTCATTGTGAGCAGCAGAGATTATAAAGTCTGACTGCAGCAGAAACGACCTGCAGATAAAATAACTGATTCATTTTGTTTGTTTTTAGACTTTAGTTTGAATCTCTGAAAACATAAAAGGTAAAAATGTTCTGCCATCAGCCATGGCCTTTATCCCAAAAAACTATATATATATATTTATATATCTGTGTATAAAGTGTCACAAAATATGATTATTTCTGAATTTCTTTTTTTTTTCCAATATCTCGATCCAGGCCAAAATGATCAAAGTGGAAACGACTCAGGTTCGTTATTTAGGTCGTTATTTAGTATTTAGGTCAGTTTTAAAGCTTTTTTTCTTTTCCTAAATTTAAAGTGGGTAGTTTACAGAAAATATCTGCCTTCTTAACTTCTTTAAGGCCAGAAAATATCTGTTAACCTTTAAAGTTGATGACGGTTTCTGATCAAAGTATACGCTCACTGTTGTTAAACTGCAGAACATTAATTAATGGCTGAAACGGTAAATCTTATCGCTTTTTTGGTTCATTTTTCTAGTTTATTTTTTCTGTACCTTCAGTCTGAATAATGACCACCAGCCTGTAGCTATCATGATCAGTAAACGTACCAATTGCAACTCCTTCAATGTCGCTCTAACAACAAACTCTGACGACTGAGTAAAAAAACACAAAAATAAAAGCAGAAGTAAAGTCGGTTTTATCAGCATGAAGACGCTCCTTGGAGGTTATGGGATGTTTTCAGTTGTCCTAAAGGAGCCATCTGCTTTAATATGGAGGTTTTTAGCCTTAGGTGGCTAACAGGCCGAGCGATGGAAGGAGGAAGGAACCAGAAAGCTCCTCAGAATCTTCATCTATTGGTTAATCTAATGTCTAATGTGTAGATCTGAGTTCTAGATCATCAATCTGGGATGGCTGCTCTTCATTCTGTCTGTTTACTGCAATACTTTGAGCTGATTGGCTGACGTCCCAGCTAGAACCCGCCTCCCATAACACGCTTTCAGCCAATCGTAGCAGCGAATCGTGTAGTGGAGTAACTGAACGTTATTGATCTCACATCGGAGAAATTTACCTCTGCATTTAACCCCTCCCCTTGGGGAGCAGTGGGCTGCCATTGTGCGGCGCCCGGGGAGCAGTGTGGGGTTAAGGGTCTTGCTCAGGGACCCAGAGTGGCAGTCTGTGGGAGCGGCGCTCAAACTCAGAACCTCAGTATTCCGGGCTTAAATCCCTAACCACTAGAACGCCACTCCCCCTGATAAATCTAACTTTTTCCAAATCCCGTCGTAAGGAAACCACAGACATCTTTCTCCTCTACAAATGCACGTTTTTCTCTTTGCTCTTTTCTAAATGAGAAATTGTCGCCAATTCAGCTAAAACCAGGTCAGTTGTGGAATCTACAGGTGAGTCCTACAGCGTAGCCATGTTAGTAACGCCCCGCCAAGGCCCTTCTGACTGTCGTCATTCCTACATGTCCCGCCCCAAAAAACCCTGCTGGCTCGTCATTGGTCCGACCCGCTGGCGGTTACAAGATGGACTTATTCAGGCCGGTTTACACTCAGAAACCAGGTCGTCTGCGCAGATATGCCCCCCTCTGCAGACACTCTGCTGCACCGCAGACAGAGCTGCAGACAGGAGGCCTCTGATTGGTCAAATCTACATCTGAGGTGCGTGAGAACGCTGGGACCATTTTTCCACCTGGATCCCCGCCCTTTTTGGCCCTCATGTCTCTCCGTTGTCACACAAACTTGCCCCCACTTCCTCACCGCCTCGGCCGTATCTAGACCCACAGCTAGTTCCTGATTGGCCCTCTGGCGTTGTGGCGTGGAATAACATAGCGCAGACCACGCTTCAATATTGAGCAGAAATCAAACAGACCTGCGTCACGCTCAGTGCGACGCTCTGCTGCGGGACGATAACCAGGCCTCCAGCAGGAGTCTTTCAGCGTAAGGTTAACTAAAGCCATTTATTATCCCATATAAATAAAATGAGGAAGTTATGTAAAGAAAACATGGATCACACAAACCAACCAGAATCCTGCAGACTTGTGGATCTTCCTCCTTTCTTGTTTGTTTTCTTTAATGTTAATTAAATGAGAATAATCCAACAACCTGAGCAGTCGAACCCAAACCTTCCCCAGATTTAAACGAAGACATGTTGGAACATGTCATCACCTGCTTCACCCACCTACACCTGACAGATTCTCTTTCATAACCTCATCCGCCCCCATCCCTCCTGATGAATCCACCATCACCCCCCACCCAGAACCCCGCCCCCGCCCCTCCTCACCGTGCACTCCATCTCCTCTGGCTCTGGTTTGATTTGGACAGAGGGCATGTCTCTCTGGCCTTGCTCCTCCTTCTCCTCTTCCGTTTCCTCCTGCTTCACTCGGACGCCGGCGGTCCCCACTTCCTTCAGCGTCTCCTCTTCCTGGTGCGGCGGCCGAGGCCCAGTCGCCACTTCCTCCTCCTCCTCCTGGTCTCGATGGTCTGCGGGGGGCGGAGGCGAGGGCGGAGGCGAGGACGGCGGCGGCGGCGGTGATGATGACGGCTGCCGGGTCACGGTGCTCTGCTTGGCCGGGCTCCTCTGCTTCTTTCGGGCACCGGCGGCGCTCTTCCTCTGCTTTGGAGTTGACTGGCACTGAGGAGGAGAAGCGGAAGACGATTAGAGGGAGGAAGGTACAAATTGTGCAGAAGATGGTTGGAGGGGAGTGAGGGTAGAGAGGGGAGGAGAGGAGGTGATAAGGGGGTAGCTGAGGGGGTAAAAGGGGGGAGGGGTCAGAGCAAGGTAGGGAGAAAAGTTTGAAGCTGAGGAGCTGGGGAGTTAAAAAAAAAGTTCAAAATTAGGAGGAAAAAAAGGATAAAAAAAAAATAGAGTCAGGTAGAATAGAAGCTGTAGAGTGGAGGTTCAAACCCTGATGACAAGCTTTACCTCCTCACTAAAACCATCCAGAAGAGGGGGTAAAAACCCCCGGCTCACACTCACTCAGGAGGAGAAAATCAGGGAAGATTTCAAGCAAAAGTTCAGAGAAGAGAGGAGAGAAGAGGAGGCAGAGAAACAAAGGACTAAATCCTGAGGCTGACACTGAGGGAATGAGAACGAAAGAGAAATAACAGACAGAGCAGGGAGGAGTAGCCGTGTACTGACCCCTCCCTCCCTTTCAGTGGCAGGCAAGCGACACACCCTTTTCTGGAAGCCCGGCTACAGCACACACACACACACACACACACTCAGAGAGAGGCTGGGGAGTGCCAAGGCAGAGCGACACACACACACACACACACACACCCAGAGAGAGGCTGGGGAGTGCCAAGGCA